CGAGAACATTATTAGTTTGTTTTTAATTAACTTAAAGTTAAAGAGACGAATTAGTCTAAAAATTCGTAGTGCAATTTAATTTACAAGTGAAATGATTAATTAAAAAAACAAATTTTTTCCCTTTTTAAAAATTCAGATACAATCTTCTCGGGATATATACAATGCATGACTAGAATATTTTATTCAGTATAATATAATATTATGCCAAGAGAAGTGGAGTTTGGTAATTTTTGATAGCCTTAGTATTTATATCCATAATTTATTAAAACAGTTCAATTCTTATAATCTTTTGTGATTATAGTCCTTACATGAATTGAGCTGCATGCTTCCATGTTATAAATGATTCTTTCATTTCTTGTAGGAAACAGATTAGCATGACGTTTTATTATAATGAAATTTTATTTAACATACAATAATATATAATAAAATACAATAATATATAATTTAATATATAATCAAAAAAAATTTCAACGAAAAATTCTAACGAAAATTTTAGACCAAAGATTTCCATTTTAATAAAAATTATAAATTTTGATGATTGTTGCAAGCAATTAAATAGCTATTGCAAGCAATTAAATAGCTATATATCCCGTAGAATTAATTCCTTTATTTTTATACCTTTATTTTTATTTTTCATTCTCGAAATTCATATAAATGCCGGAAAATAATTTACATATATAGCATGGTAATGAAAGGTCTTAAAAACATTAAAACCTTTCCTAAGTGAAAAATTTAATTTTTTATAATGAGGAACATATTTAGTTAATTTATGCTGCTAATACATTATAAATAAATAATTTTTTTACTTACAAAGGAGTATATATAATACTGAAAAATAGTTTATCATAGAATAAACAATACACGAAACAGTAAACAACTGGTCTTTCAACCAGTAGAGTTTATTGATCCGCGGTTGGTTCAAAATCATTCTTTCACATTGAATTTCAGACAAGTGTTGAACAAGCGCGAGCCAGTGTATCAGGCATTGTGGGCTGGTCCGTGTGATTTCGACGAAGTGCTAATCAGCCCAGTGATGATACAGGACCACATGCCGGACAACATGTTACGTGCATTGAATAAGGTAAGCAGGGACGCGAGCGTCGTGCGGCAGCAAGTAAAACGGTCGCAGACACCACTGAGCCGAACCCCATCGGTGAAACCGGGTCATTACGAGCCCTTAGAGGAAACCGCCGACGGACCCGACATCCCCAACGAGGTCCAGCGAGATCGAATAAGCAGAACCACAGATCAGGCTATTAACGGTGTTGATCGCGTGCACATTCGCCCGGGTGTTGATTGTACGTCGATCGTTGTTGACGTAGAAGTGTACGAGCGCAAAGAGACCCTGCCAGAATCGCGTTGACGCGGTCAGAGATTTGCCCTCCGCGAGTCGCACGTAATGATGAGATATCCCGCAAATCACGATCTTAATTTTAACGATCCTTTTTTTTCATTTATTATTGAAATTAGATTCGCGATTCGCGGAATAATCGCATGTATCGAAGGACCGCCGCTCTTTCAGTGATTTTAAATGTCTTCTTAAATGATTAGGATACTCTATAAGTGATAGACTTGCGTGAAGTGACACGTTAGATTATATAGTAGCTATGGAGAACTTATTTATTATTTTATTGGTTGCAAATAGAAAAGAAACATCGAGACATTTCTATGCGCAATTATTTATTTGATACTTGTCTATATGAATTAGCGTAGAACATAGCTGTAGATTCTAGTGTAATTTATTATTATTTAGCATAATCACATTGTTTCTTTGCTTTCGTTGTCCAGTACGATCGCCGCAAGTGTAAATTATGTTTTGGAACGCTGCAATTGTACATGTAGATTTGATTACATTAGTACAACTCGATATAAAGATGATGTATAAAAGTTCGATTAAACTTAGCAGGATAGATTTAAAAAGTGAATCTGATGAATCCAACTACAAATTTTATAACTTTCATCAAAGTGTATTTTTTTTGTGTTTTTTTTTCTTTAAAAAATTCAGACTCCGAGTAAAATAATAAGTGTCATTAATTAACGAAAAAAATTACATAAAAAATTTATATCGCAAACTTGTTAAAAGAAGATTAGATATTTTTTTTCCGAATTAGCAGTTTTGTTTGGATTTCGTGGATCCAAGTTCGTACTGCTAGAATTAATTGGATGCATGGAAAGGTCTGTTTTGCAAGGTTAATTTAGTCGATGATAACGAAATAATTCGTAATTTTTTTTTAAATAACATTGAGTTAAAGTTATTAACATACACAATTCGATATCTACATCAGATTGAATTGTGAAGAAAAATTTAGAAAGATTTTAAAAGAAAAAAAAGAGTACGAGTAAATATACAAAAGATTTTTCAATTTCATTTTTTAATTCTCCCTTTGATTTCAACGATATTGATTTCGCCATCGTGATTACTGAAGAGACTTGTAATTAGTAATCGTTTTTGGGATATCATAATCAGGATATCTTAATTATTTCTACGATATCGCTATTTCGTGCAATGTTCGTTCGCTGAATATTCGTGTAGTTATTACTTCTAATATCCGCCTAAGTAGAGTAACACGACTGACGTGCATGCCCTCATATACTGCATGAATTCGTTGAAAATAGTAGCTAACTAGTGGGATACATGAATCTGCTACCGTTTGCACGCGATATTGTTACAAAAAGACGTTAATTTTACATAGAAATTATTTTATAAAACATGGACAGTGATAGTTACAATTCACTTGATTCTTATAGAGAAGAAAATCCTTATATATATATATATATATATAT